CCAATATCGTTAACTAATTGTGGCAAATCATAAATAAAAAATTTTAATAATGTATTATTGTTATGGTTATTATTTTTATTTTGTCTATTTTCTGCCTATTTGTATTATTTTGTCTATTTTGGGATAGTATATAGTTGGTTAATTAACAAATATTTATGAAACACCTATTATTATTTCGATACAAAATTTCATTTTTTCGAACGCTGCGCGCACTTTACCTTAATAATTAATAAAAACATGAGTTCATATCTCACTTCACTGTTCGTTTATCTCACGCATTGAATCACAAAATTGGAACGATTAGAAAACAATTTGATTTTACTTGACGAAATTAAATAAAAACGAGGGGTAAATATTGTTCTAATGAATTGTTCTTTGTTCTGTTCGTTCTGGCGTCGACGTCACAACGTTCTTGATAGCGTAAGGCCACGTTTTATTGGTTTTTGATTGAAATTTTTATGGCAATTAAATCCGTAACCAAGTGTTGACAGGTCCTCAGCAGGGCCACTCGTGCCTGGGCTTTATCGGATACTTGGTTGGTATAACGGGACATCAGGGATTAGCATCGGCTGCCATTATATTGTGCACCTGCTCGAGTTTGTACGCCAATCTCTGCTTCTGGGAGAGCTCATGCTCCTCGAGGGTTACTATTAATTGTTCGTTGTATTTTCCTGCGTATGTGTAGAGCTCGTACAGGGCACAATTCGTGTTGAATTCTGTCGTGTGTAACTGGGAGAGAGGGTGGAGCAAATAATTGGTTATTATTTTGGCAAACGCTTGACCATTCAATTTTTCACACCAGACATTGAAAATAATGCATTGTGAATTCATTTATTTACTTGACCACTCCTTAATAAATTTTCTCTCTATTCTATTACTTACTCTTGACTCTTCAGCTAACATTGCATTCATATCGTAATCAGATATTGCCGGCATGGTTTTAATATCCGAGTAGTAACGCTCTACCCACTCATTGTACACTGGAATGTCTTTTGCGGAAAGCAGCTTTGAACTCAGTGAGTCTTTACCTGGAGAATTCATATAAATTCCTTATTAAATTCAATAAACCGACGATTATTCTCTGTGGGTCAGTATTGAAGAAGTCACAACCCCCAATGGGACATCAATTTTTGAATCCACAACTAAATTAAAGAGATCTGCCCCAAAGTAATTACGCAATTATCTTGTTGATGAACCGTTCCATCAAAAAACACCAAGAGACCAGCAGATGCATTTCCCCCATCTCCAAAAAGCTCCCTTAACATTTCCTCCTAAAAAATCTCATTACGCAGATAAATGCGTAATTAACTCAACCTCTCACTGCGTTTTAATAGAACATTGTAAATAGATGCAGTGATTTTTTCATTACTGCCATCAACTCATGAAAATGAATTAATGAAAAAAAATTAGCGAATGCTTGCAATGGCGTATCAACATTAATAAGATAAATAAATGAATAAAACACCTAGCTTATGGTCAAACGTTAAACAACTATCCATAAACGTCTGTGCAACAACAGAGAGACAGGAATCGACACTACTGGACGTGTGTATATCAAACACAAAGTTTGGATTTTTGATAAGATTGACCCGAAACCTAAGTGGAAGTGAATTACTCTTCCACGTGTGTACAACCTCAGGATCAGATATGCCATAATGAATAGCTTGATCGTCGAGAAAATCAAACATGTACTTAATAGCTAGTGGCAGTGGACATCCACGATGTGCAGTGCTGAATATTGTTTCAAACAGATCATCGACGAATTTCTGAAGTGTTTTTATTGTTGTGTTCTCGTCGTAAAGGATCAGTCTTCCTGATGCACCTGTTCGCCATTCTGAAATTTTATTCCATCTATTTATATCATTCGAGAGAAATATAAACCCTGAAATAACTGCCAGACATCCGTGGAGGAGGCAATGAAAAACCACAACAATTAATTCTTAGATTTTTTTGGCATTTAACAGTGAACAAAGGCTGGGATTATCACAATGGTTGATATTTCTTTCTCTCGCACAGTTCAACAAGTTAAGGCCCGGGTGGAGGGATTTTTGCCCATGTCCCTAGGGAATTCCCTAGAAAAAACGCGTTTTACGGGTAACTAAATGCCAGCCCCTGTAGGCCCTCAAAAAGTATAATGGTAGGGTCAATCGATAGATAATTATTTTTGCCGGGCCGGTAATTAGGTCTCAGGGGTGAGAAATTGAGGAACGAACGTGTAAATTACGTTCAAAGAGACCCCCTAGATTCACCAAGATGAATTCTCCAATGATCGTTTGGGGAAAAATATGGCGGCTTAATCACTGCGGAATAAAAACACTCCCGACAATTTATACATCCACTTCTCACTCGCGACACCCAATCACCGGCCCGTGAACACAATTATTACATTTTTCGCGATTTTTTCCGGAAAGATTCGATGCACTGAACGCCCGGAATTTA